TTTAAAAAATCATTATAAAAAGACATTGAAAAATTAAAAACATTAAAAACTCATTCACACCATTCATAGCCGGATCTCACCAGATCACAAGAGTGATTGCAAGATCAAAAAGGATTGCAGCTTGCTGACAGTCCCAATGAATTCCACTTTGACTCTATTTTAAATACATACGATCCAAGGAGAGGCTGCAAATACCCTATTTCCCCCAAAATAAGACACAGCCGGAAAATAAGCCCTAGCATGATTTGTCAGGATGCTTGTAATTTAAGCCCTACCCCCAAAATAAGTCCCAGTTAAGATTGTCAGCATTTGGTACTACATTTCCCAAAAACAGACATAACCCAAAAATAAGCCCTAATGCGTCTTTTGGAGCAAAAATTAATATAAGATCCAGTCTTACTTTTGGGGAAACATGGGTAGTAATGAATAAACCTCCGGTTGATCTCAAATCAAAGAAACCGCAGCCACCGCCATGATGTGGATGAGGGGTTCCAGTGGTCTACTGCCCTTGCTTTTGACTGAGGCTCCTTCTCTGTCCCAGGGCTCTGGGCCGGGAAGGAGGAAGGGCAGCATGACTGTGTCCATGGAGGCCTGCAGAAGGACTCCCTCCTCTGAAAGCAGATCCTGTCTCTTCTTTCAGCTACAGGAGACAGCGACCCTGGGCAGAGCTGGCTTCTCACAGGCCTAAAATGGGCAGCAGCAAAGTCCCTTTTTGACCAGAGCTGGTGCAGCTCAGAGAAAGCAGAGGAGAGGGAGGATGAAGGGTCCTAAACGCATGGGCCCCTCCGTCGCGGTGGGCTTTAAAAGACAGACTGTGCAGTAAACCCTGGCAGCCCTGACCATTTGTATCCCTCCACTGTCCCAGCCAAAACAGCTGAGAATACAGCCCAAGTGGGCTGCCACAAGGAATCCATCGCCAGGAGCATGTTGGGTCCAAATCTGGATCCGGCGGTTCTGAATCAGACCCAACGGATTGCTGTCAGCACAACTGGGCACTCTCTCAGCTGCCACACCAAGCAGCGGTGGCACCATGAAAGAAAAACAAGCCCTGACCAGGTCAGCCGTGGTGAAGGACGCCGTAACCCTGCAAAGGGGGAAAGAATCACAAAATCTGGGGTCCTATTTGAATTGGGGAGTGGTCTGGAAGGCTTGCAAGTGGCCTGCAGCCCCCAGGGAGCAGCTGGGGAAGGCCCAGGGGGAGAGAAACAAGGACATAGGCAAACGTGCTTTGCTGGGGGCTTTCTGTTTCTCAAAGCAGCGGGCATCAAGCTTGGCAGCCACGGGGCAGGGAGGCTGTCTTCTGCAGCACCCCAAGCGGCAATGGAGCTGTAGTCACAGCACTTCTTGGGGGGCAAAACACCCCTCAGCAGCCGAATTGGAAAAGATAAAGATGCTCCAACCACTTCCCCACAACTGCCACTACAACGGACGCTTGATTTTTTCCCACTTTCTGCCTGGCTTTGGGAATACTTCCAAGAAACAACAGGCACACCCACGCTGACCCGCCGCTCTGCCCACCTGGCAGAGGAGCCAGTGGTGGGCTGCAATCAGTTTAACAATCGGTTCTGTGAGTGCACGCTTCGCTTGAGCGCAGCGTTCAAAATAAAGCAATCTGAAGCTCAGCTGCTGACCTTCTAAGACAGCCCCGGTAAGTAGAACAGCAGAGGCGTGGAAATCAGCTGTGCCGCGTGGATCAGCTGAGAAAGGAAATATAGGACAGGATAGGGCGGGGGTGGGTGGCCGGGGCCAGCTGATCGTCAGAACTACTGGTTCACCCGAACCGGCCCGAATCGGCAGCAGCCCACCACTGAGAGGAGCCCTGTCTCTGGATAAGGTTTGCCCTGCCCATGAGGAGCAAAGCTGCCCTCCACCAAGGAGGGGCAAGAAGGCAGAGAAGCTCCCAGCTGGGGCTGGGTGCTCATCAAGGGCCTGGGACCCGTCACCTGGTGCTACTTGCTTGGCACCTGCATCTTTTCAAAGCTTACCCCATCTGGAATCCAAAGTGCTCTCCCGAAGCCAGCTCTACCATCGCCATGGCAGGCAAGGACAAAGAGGCATTAGGAGTCCGGGCACCCCCTCCAAAGCTGCCTGCACTGAGGAGCCCTTTCCAAACAGGCCGGTCACCTCATAAGACAACCAGCTGGGCTGAGAAGTGACCACCTGCCCAAAACACCACAGCTTCTCTCGGGAAGTGGACTCCATGGCTTACTGGAAAGAGAAGGGCAGCACTGCTCCCACCACCACCTGCTCCCCCTCACTTTACCCAAGAAAGCCTGTGGCTTCCTTGCTGGACCAGCCCTGCCCAAGAAGGAAAGGGGAAAGGTGGGCATGAGCCTCACCTGAGCCTCCTGCTCAAAGGGGCAAGAAGAAGAAAAGCCCAAAGCTGCCTGGAAAAAGGGGGAAGGGCAGAGAAAAGAGAAGGACTGGGGGGGGAGGGACACAGCAGGGGGCCTATCTCTGCCCTGTTTGTATTTTTCTTAGTTTTCACCTAAATTCTTTTCAGCAAGCAGGAGAGACCAACGTGGCCGGCTAGGAGGCCATTGGAAAATATCAGGTGTCTGCCATTCAGGAAATAAATTTAGCTATGGAATGGAGATATTGATCGGGAATAATTAAAGCAATTATTCAGAGATTAAATAGGCTGCGGATGGTGCAACCTCCCTCTTGACTTCTTTATAACCCTTCCGTGTGCAAAAAGCACTGGGGGGTGTGTGTGTGTGACTTACAGAAACGTCACCAGCAGTTGAGGGGCAGGTCATTATTTGGGTCATTTGACCAGCTGATTTCAAAACCAGCATTGCCAGTTCCAAAAACAGCCCAGTTGCCAAGGTGTCAGGGACCAAAAGAGACAGTTTCCACTTAGAGCCTTTCTTTGCCTGAATTGGACAACTTTGCTTCCCCCAAGGATTGTGACAACCCAGCTTCTCCATTCCTGTCTGGGCAGCCTCTTCTTCTTCCTGGCCCCACTGAGCCTCTGCGCAGTTACAGCTGCAGAGGACTCTGCCAGGCAGGCTCTTTTTATGGAAAGAGCTGCCAGGGAGGGTCCTCCAAGCTCCTTGCCAGGAGAGGAGCTTCTCCGGTTACCGGGGCACTGCCCTCTTTTGCCTGTCCAAGGTTCAGCCCTAGAGGCCTCCGGCCTACCCATCGGAAAACAACATTTCAATAGTGTTTTAAATGTTGAGCACAGATTAAAATATAAACTGTGAATTAATAACAGTGAGCTATAAATAGTAGACCATGTGGAAGCTGCTGTGGGCTTCTCAAGGCTGGCTTGGGACGCAAAGCCCCGCCAGTTAGTGTCACCGCCCGCCTTGATGGGAGCTGTGCCCTTTGCTAGCTTTCTCCCTCTAGCTTAGCCGATGACTTGGCACCACTTGGAAACCGCACCAGTCCAAGGAAAAGTGCCTGTTCAGGCCTTGCTGCCCATCACTCGAAGCTTAATCCTCTGATCAGCTGCCAACTCCTGACCACTTTATAAGAATTAAACTACGTCAATCCCAAATTCCCAATTTTACGATGATGAGGATGCATCTTTTCCAAGATTCTTCAGGGGAAAAAAGAAATTATAAATTTAATTTATAAAATAAAATTAGCCAATCCAATAAACAAATAATTAAAAACCACAACAAACTAAGTGCAATCACCTACAATTCAAACAGATGTATGTATACCCAGGTAACAATTTAGCATCTACTAAGTTAAGGAGTGTTGGGTAGGATAACCAGGTCTACCTAACCTCTCTTAGCCAGTAAAAACGGAGTCTAAAAGTTTGCAAGATTTTCAGGGATGAAGGGAAGGAGGAAAAAATGCAGAATTGGGAGAAGGAGCCTGTCCAGCCCTCTCAACTGCTGCAGCCTCCAGCATCTCACGCTGGAGTTACGCTGTACACAGCTCAGCCTAGCAGATCCTTCCTGCCTCTCTGGGGAAGCCATGCGCTCATACATTGCAATATGTCTAACATATATATGGACAAAACAAAATGCCCAGTCAATTTAACATCCTAAATATTTTCAGCCATTTATACGTGTTTAATGGGAATGTCAAAATGTGGATTTTAAAAAGGTGATATTAAACAGATTCTCTCTGTCAAATGAAGTAACCGTTTATTTTTATAAAATCTTCAGCATATCTCACTCAGCCTAGAGGAAAAATATGAAAAGAGAAAGGATTCTGTAACAACTTTAGATGAAGTGTTTTTCTGTGCAGAAGAAACACATAGATTGCCTATTTAGGAAGTGTGAATTCACACATTCCAAAGGGCGTTATTAGCTCGGTGAGGGATCCCTTTTCAAGTGCCCGTTTCTTTGCACTCCTGATCTAAGACCAGGCATGGAGGTGCCATTGCCTGCCTCTGCAGCGGCACGTATATCATAGGCAAATGGTCCAAAATGCCCCCTCCCCCACAGGAAGAACCATCCAAGGCAAGGAAGATCCTGGGCGGAGGGGGGCAGTGGAGAAAGCAGAGGAGCTCCAGTCCCAGTTGAACTGAACGCAGGCCCACATCCTTCCCAAACCCACTCAGGAGAGGCGCCAAGTAATACAATTGCCAAATGCATTCATCATCAAGTGGTATGAATCTTCATGCCCTGCATTGGGAGATTTTGACTTTCTTGCGCTTCAAGTGGCACCATGGCTGCAAAGCCTCCAGCAAGGGGGTCTTTCCAGTGCAATGCTCCAGCCTGGCTTCCTGCCTTCCTCCCCTCCCTCTTGTGGCCCTGCAATCTGAGGCTGCTCTAGGAAGAGGGTCGCTTGTGCTTCATCTTTGGGGGATCTTTCAGCAATTATTTCTGATCCCCCAAAGACACCTCCAAAGTATCTTTGGAGGGTGAAAGCGCAACAGCCCTTGGCTGGGATGGCTGGAGAGCCAGGAGGGGGAGGCTTCAGTGTCCCTGAGAGGAGGCTGAAGGATGGCAGAACCAGATCCAACCACACCCCTGGGCAAATCTGGCCGAGTGGAGGCACTCTTTGGTCTCTCACCCAGGCAGCTTCTGCCCCTCCAATTCAAAGCGATCATTCCATCCGCTGACTGGATCCTGTTTGGGAATCATAATGCCTCAGCCCAAATTGTTGGACTGAATGAAATGACTGGTGGGGCTGGGGGGATCTTCTTAAGCAATGGGGATGCCTAGCCATGAATCATATCTTAACTGATGCACATTCTACCTCTCCAGAAAATAAACCATAGAGAAGTATAAAAATGCACACACACAAAAGTGAACCTTGTTCAGCAATAGAACACCAGAATAACTGTGAACACAGCATTTTCTAAAACAGCAACCTAAAACCTCTCCGGCCCCAGACCAACGTGGCAGAGTGTGGGTCCAGGAGCAGGCAAGGGAAGAAGGGAGAAAGGTAGCCTTCCCGAGTCCTGTGGCGAAGGGACTTGCACTCTAGAACCTCTGCAAAGACAGGAAAGGTTGCCTAATCCACTCTGGAATTGGTGGGTGGAAGAGCTGCCATCCCCGTGTCAACTCACAAGCACCTTCTCCACCCATTCTGCCCCCTACCCTGGCCTTGCTCCTCCAGGAACCCCAGGAAGTCGGAGACAACAGGGTGAAGAAGGAGAAGCCCAAACTTGGGTCTCCCTGCATTGGGCAGCTTTCTGGAACTCTGATGACTTGTAATCAAAACTTTTTTGCTTTGCTTCCAGAAATTATTCATCAAACCACTGTGTGAGCAAATGAAGTAGACTTACAAAATAAAGGGTAACAAATACCATCTTCAACCCAAACTGCTATGTGGGGTTTTGTTTTAAGGGTATTTTCAAAGCCTCACGAGAAATAGTGCGGTCCTTCACATATATCGTGATGTTTCCTGAAACAGACCAAATAACGGGATTCAGAATCGCAGCTCCAGGAAACCAACGCAAGCACTAATCACACCTGAGCATGAATTGCAGTCCCAGGGGTCCATCTTTTGTCTTTGACCTCCTTATCTCAGAAGCATCCATGACATCCCCTGGATGTTACGAGCCTCAGAATTTCAGGCTACTATGGATCGAGCATGGAAAATAGGTGGACAGGTGCCCCAAATGGTAGCCACCAGAAGAGTCTCTGTGTAAAATATTGAAAGGTCTCGTTTCTGAGCCTTGAAAAGGCACCCCAAGAGCTGTACAGGGAGCTTATAAAGCCATCCGAGTCATCCACCAAGTCGCCACCGAAGAAGTGAAAATAAGGTGAAACCAGCCTGGAGAGCAACCAGCAGGAATGAACTCCTCTTCAGCTCTCCTGAAGGGCGGCTATTCAGCTCCTGGTGTTCTCAGAGGGGTCCTCTGGAGCACTGCGTTTTTGGGTGTGCTTGAAAAAGGTTTAGGCCCAGGCTGTCTTTAAAATGCATACATGGTTGGATGGGGAGAGCCACATCTCTCCCCTGTTTCAAAGCTCACATCAGCCACCACTAAGGAGCAACCAATGGGACAATGCTCTGCCAGTGATCCACCTTGCTCTTCATATTGGGTGTTCAGCATCAGAAAGTCGTGGGGGATTAGGCTAAAGAAGCCAGAGAACAGGATCCAAAATAAATGGATTCTCTCCTCATCAAAGAAGACCAATTGGGAGCTCAAACCCCACCTTGCAACTATTCAGAAAGCATTGAACAAGCCATCATTTGTGGCTCAAAACAAATAGTTGATGGGTCTCTTTGCTTCTAGCACAATTTCCAATTCCATCCTGGTCAAGAAAAGAGAAGACAATTTGTCCACTAGGACAAGCAGAAAGCATGTCACAAAAATTACAATCTGCAATTTAGAGATCATTCACTCCGAACCATAGTCTGATGCAAACCTCCAGCTTCTTGTCTAGCAGTAGAGAAGCAAGGAGATGGAGGTTTCCCCCGAAGGCTTCCCTCTGCTCTGTCTGTGATTCTGAGACATGGCTACATTCAACACCGCCTGGCCAGACCCTTTCATTATATTCTTACCAGGGAGCAGGCTATGAAAGAAAAAGAGACGCATCAACTGGCAGCAAGATTTTCCCTAATGAAATACAGAATTCCAAAATGAAGGCTGAAACTACTTTTTCTCAGAACTTCAAGTCACGAATCGAGTCAAACTAGCTTCAGCTATTAAATCTGCTTTGCCAGAGATGTTCAGTGGGGCCTGAAGGATTTCACATCCATTCCCATGAAAAACAAAGGCGAAAACAGATCCCACCCGCTCTCCCTTCAGCAGTCTCGGCTTTTGCTTTGGTGTCAGCGCATTTTTCCTTTGGCAGGACACAAAAAGGATTGGGAAGAGAGTGCAAGAGAAGGGTTTAGGCCAGCACTGAGGGCTGAGGCTTCCAAACCCCCGTTCAGGTGTAGGTATGCTTTGAACCAAATTATTGGGTGGCGGGAAAGATTCCATCATGAAATTGTTATGGGTGAATAGTTATTTCCAGGCCCTACCAAGAACAAAGAAAACATTTCATGAATCCAAATTCTGATTCTATGTTTAGACTTGGTGGTGCAAAAACTCAGCTGAGGGACATCCCGGGGCTCAAGGTGCCTTTTGTATTTTTGGTCCTTCTGTGTCTTTCTTCTAGTGGAGCTCCAGCATATCATTGTTTTCTGTACTAAATAATTTTTTTTAAAAAAGCAACAGAATGAAACAAATGAGGCTATTACGCTTTAGAAAGATTTCTAGATAAAAGAACTCCAGAGATGTAAAATTAAACATATCTAAGCCATAACAAAATCATTTGTATAAAACAACCACAAAACAGTAAATGAACTATTAATTCATAGCGATTACTAAATATTGGTCCTAGTGTAGCCTCAACTGAATGAGCAGAACCTGTCCTTGCAAGCAAATTCCCCCAAATTCCAAGCAAGAATGCTTAGGAGTGAGATCACAGAAATTCTTGGTCAAAAATTACTATTTTAAGAACAAGCATTCTCTCTATATTTATGCATGTAAGAGACATGCTGGGACCTCCCAATGAATAACCTGCATATAACATTGTCTTCAGTAACCAATAAAAATATTAAGCTGTCTTGATATTAGCAACACTATTTCAACTTGATATAATAATAGTATTTTCTTCAATTCACATAATTTTTCACTTCTGAAAATGAAAGAAAAATATCTGCATTTGGTAGGTAGTATTCTAATATTTTAGCACTGAATAGTCAGACTAATACTGAATGCTATTATTAATCTATACATTAAGTCTTAAAATAACTAATCCTTCATTATAAAACCATATCTAAGAAATTATCCTGGGTGTTTATATCCAGAAAGTTTGTGGACAGAGACTCCTCTTTCAGATATTTGATGCACATCCTTTACCAAATTAAAATTAAGTGCATCTCACAAACAAACCATTTTGTCATTTTGAAAGAAGTATATTTTTCTCTCTTCAAATGCTGAGCATTAATGAACCTGGCAATGCTTCTCCACTTAAAGAGAAAAGCGGCTAGTGATTCTACCATCTGTATCCTTCACCTCTTGTAGGAAGCTCAGCTCCACACAATGAAAATGGCAACATCTCTTTTATCAGAGGAGCCAAAGATTAACAGACGGGTTTCCCCTCTTTTTCTTTTATGCAGTACAATCATCTCACTGATTCCCTGTAAAGGATAAAGAAGTTCAGCTGGCCAAAATTAATAGATAGTCCCTCCAACTAGCAAATTCCACTAATTTAAGATTTAAAGCAATCAGGAAAATCTTCACTACATAATCTTAGAAGTACATAAATCTGCTGGAGAACGACGGGTATATTTCAGCAAAAATGAAATGCCATTAAGAGAGAGAGGCGGCTCAAGGCCCGTTCTTTCTGCCATGTCTCTGTTGGATATTCCCCAAGGCTGCCTCTCGGGGAACTGCCATTAACAAGACAGGCCAGGATGCTCTCTCATTTTTAACCCCAAACCATCGTCTAGGTGATAAGATGTTGACTAGCATTTTGCTCCTCAGGGGGATTTTTGACATTCCTTTCCAATTCTTATGCCCAAATTAATGCTTAATTTAAAAAGATGAAAAGCAATCCTGTTTCCTTCCGCTTTGCTGTTCAAAGGAACCTTCCAAGACTCGGGTTTTCCTATCTTAAACCCAAATTCAGGCTGCGTAGACCTAGAGAAGAACACCCTCAATGTCCAAATAGAGATGGCATACAGTTTTTCCTTCTCTGGTTAGAGTAGCAAAGAATAGTTCCCTATTCCCAACCCAACAAACACAGGCCAAAAGACGCACGCTGTGCTTCTGCCTAGACCTGGGAGGCTACCCACTGTCAGAGAGATAGATACTCAATGAACTCCACAACAGGAGGAAACTGCAGCAAGAATTGTCGATGAAGATTCTCAGTCATCCAGATGGAATTGACAAAACAACACTCCGTTTGTGAAAGGGTTTGTCATGTGTGCAACTGCAAATTCCTCTGTGATGAGGCTGCGTTGCTCACTACTTGTATCTGTAACACGGACAGTCTTCAGGCACAACTATTAAAGTCATTCAAGGAAAGCAAGACTGTGTTCCAGGATGGTTTACGGAGAGGTTTTGTCTGTTTACATAAAAGCCGCCTCTGCAACTTGAGTCCCTCCGTTAGCATTGTGCAATTATTTTCTTTTACCGCTTAGGAAGTTTATTTATGAAATAAATAAATAAACTTATGGAATTTATGCATCATGTTCCTGCCTTTCTGGCTAAGAAACACTATACAAAGCACAGAAAAAAATAAGAAATTACAGCAGAAGATAAACCAAAGGAAAATATATTTAATTCTATAAGCAAATTTTGAAATATTAAATAATATCTAATTTTTGTATTCTAAAATACACAGTTCCAAACTGAAACATTGATCACAACCAACAGGATTAATTTTAAAAATGCATGAGAATATAAAGCACAGGTACGAAAATAAAAAGTAAACTACGAACTGCAAAGACTTATGGCCATACAGGAGGGTACGAATCAGCCCAGCATAACATTCCACAAGGGCCGTAGGTCAGCATACTAAGCTATGGTGGCTCAGCAGTTCCACCTGTTTCCATTCCATGTGCAAAGGACACCACATGGGATTCCCTACAAATGTTAGAAGTGGTTTGCTTTTGTGGGAATGAATAAAAAGGGATAACAAACAGCTTAAGCAGCATTTGGTCTACCCAGCCCCAGCCTTTAATGGCAACTGATATGCAAACTTTAGCTTGAGAGGTATTCAGAAATATGACTGAAATTGGAAGAAACTTTCCTGCAAATGCCTGTGAAGGACACAGCCTGGGCACTGGTGCTTTGCTCACCTGGTAAAGTCATTTGCCTTAAAAGCCTTTGTCCTATCCTTAAGCCCAGCAGCGATGGACAACTTTCCTATCCTTGGTTCTGGGTACTTTGCCTTATGCATCCCAGGTAGTGATTTCCCGTCTTCAGGCCAGGATGCACAGCAGGCCAGCAAAGAGTCTCCTGGGCCAGAGGGTCAAGGGGTGCTGCTACAGCAACAAACACACATCACCTTTAACAGATTTTCAGTCCACTTTTGATGCCAGAAAGCAATTTCCATGCTTTTCCCATCCTTTAAATTTCAACCAGAGATATTTCAGAACCAACCCTTTAAGACTTCCTCCTCACAACCCCTCGGCAGCTTAAAAAACAAACCACCAAAGATGCAGAATGCGGGAAGAGCTGGTAGAGACAAAAAACCCTGTCCTCGTGTGGCCAGATTAACATTTCATGTTGAAGCGGTTCTTCCATGAATGTTCATGTTCACACCATCCCATGTGGCAGCTTCTTCCACTGACAGATTTATGCGTTCTATGACAGGCAACCAAACCAGCATCCTGGAATAGCCCGGGAAGGAGAACAGGAGCTAGACCACAGCCTTCCACCTTTTGCCTTACAGCCACCAAAGGCATTTGCTGCTGCTGCTGCTGCTATTGCAGGTTGCAGTAGGTTGCTACAGAGCAGCATCCTGGGGACTCTCTGCCCCTCTCAAAGGACAGAGAACGCTCTTGCCTACCTGCGAAGGGGGGAGGAGGGTGCCCACCTGCAATCCTCTCTCTTTCAGCTAGCCCTGATTTCAGAATCAAGCTGCTGGAATGCAGCTCAAGGGAAACCCGAGAGCCCCCTCAGTGGCTTGTTTTCAACTTCAAAATGAAACCATCTCCAAAAGTCATGCATAGAAATTCTGCAACTGCTATTCTATAACACCGCGGGTCTTGGCACATTTATCTAGAAATAACTCTTGCTCTGTTCATCACACAGTGCAGTGTGCATAGAAGATCTCTCTTTGGGTTCTCTGTCACTTGTGGAGGAAATGAAAGAAAGCCAGGGATCTCCTGAACAACTTGGGAATCACCCCATGAAATTCTCCACAGGAAAGACGATTGCATGGATGGGCTTGCATCGGATCCCACCGCTTGCATCCCACAGAAACAGCCAGTTTCAATTTCAAAAAGTTACCTAAAAGGATAGCATAAGATATAGCTTGAGCAAAATAATTCAAACAAAAAAATAGGCAAAGATTTCCTTTTCCCTTTCCCAATCTTCACTCCTTTGGTGACCTTGGACAAACTACCAGCATTAAAGCTGCATCACTTTTCTCCCATTTGAAAAGCTCCAGGATGCTGAAATGCAACTTGAAACTGCCTCTCCAATCTTTCCTTTCTCCTAGTCCGGGAAGTTCCTGCACTCACATCCCAGTGCAAAGAACAGGCGCAATCAAGCAAGCAGGAAAGCCACCAGCTGATGGGCTCCTCTCTCCTGGGTCTCCTTCATCCCATCAACCTCAGATTCCAAAGCGGAAACTTTGCTGCTTACACAAAGGAAAAGCATGGCTGGGCCAGCCTGGCGAGATGGGAGTGATTTGTGCGCTAACAAGCTATTGATCCAGTCAGATCTGGTGTCAATGAAAGAAAATGCAAGGAAGGCTGGTGGGAAAGGAGCCCCCCATGTTCTTGCCCAAAGGAAGCCTTGGCGATGGGGTGGGCTCTCTCCTGGGCATCCCCTCTTTCCTCTGGGGCCCCTTGCCAGGGAGGCTCCTTGCATCCAGAAGGGCTCACCCATCCGGCAGAGTTGGAAGTCGAGGAGCCAAAGCAAATCAGACCAGCGGAATGCAGCTGTCTCAAGCTGCAACCGCACCGACCCCACTCGCGGGTCCCTGGAAACCCCCGATGTTTTTAAGGTTCTCTAAAATATCCTACCCGCCTTAAAAGCCCCACCACCACCCAATCTCCGCAAAAGTCACTGTGTTGGGCAAAACTCTGAAAGGGTGAAATTAGGAGGCAAAAAGATCTTCTGCCTCCCAAGACGGTCTCTCCCCGCCCCCCTCCCGGGAGCGGGACGCGGCCTCCAGACACCCCAGCCCTGCGTTTCTACGAAAGGGCAGCTCCTGCTTAGGGGATTTCGTCCTGAATGTTCACGCGGCAGCGCTTGTGGACCGCGCCACTTTTCCCTCCTCGGGCCCGGGATTTGGGTGGGGGCTCCAGCCTGATTCCCTACATAAAGGCGGTGTGTGTGTGTGTGTGTGTGTGTGTGTGTGTGTGTGTGTGTGTGTGTCTTCCTGGGTACCTGCTGCTCCCACGCTGCTGCTCTGCTTCCCAGTGGAGACACAGCTGCGAGGCAAAGGCGCCCCAGCAGCAGAGCCGCCTACGCGGAGGGGAGAGTGGCGCTCGGATCTGCACCGCGCCCGGGGGAAGTAGGGTCCTGGAGTAACGCTTGGTCAGGGGACTCCGGCCCTCGCGGAGCGCGGCGGCGGACGCCCCTACCTTCCTTGCCGGCCGTGGGCGCCTTCGCTTTCTCCCAAGGCACCAGGACCTTCTCGTCGGGCTCCCCGTCCAGGAGGGCTTTGTCTCCGGGCAGGTACCACGCGGCGGAGTGCTCGGCCATCAGAGATTCCAGGTCGATGGTGCTCACCGCGCCCTTGGCTCCGGCGCCCTCGCAACAGCTGCTCAGTTCGCCGCTGTCCCCGTTCTGGCCCCCGCCCGAGCCTTCGGGGCCCTTCTTGGCGCTTTTGAGGCCCAGCGGCTGGTCCTCGGAGATGCTGAACTGCTGACGCTGCAGCTGGATCTGCGCTTGCAGGATCTCCAGCGGGTGAATCTCCTCCTGCACCGGCCCGGGGGGCCCGGCGCCGTAGCTCTCAGGGCTGGAGGTAGCCGTGCTGCCGCCGCCGTGCAGGCCCAGCTGAGCCAGCGCCGACGGCTTCTGTCCATTCAGGAGCGGGTGGTCGACCGGGCGGCCCGGCGGCTGAAGAGGGCTGCGCCCGGCGGGACACCCTTTGGCTCCCTGGTTGTCGGAGCTGGAAGACACCTCATCCTCGTTTTCCGCCTCGCCGGGGAAGTCGCCGCCGCCGCCGCCGCGCGGGGAGCAGGATTCAGCCTGGTCCAGGGAGGGAAGGAGATCGGCCTGCTCTGCGGGAGGCTGGAGAAGGAGGTCGCCGCCGCCCTTGGCCCAGGTAGAAGGCGGGGAACTCAACGCCTTGGGCGGCTCGTGAAGATGGGGGGTGCCGCCGCCGCTTCGCTCCCCGCCTTGTCCGGGGCTGCCGCTCTCGACGCCCGCCGTCGGGCCATACTTCTCAAAGAAGCCGCCAGTCGCCCCGGCGGCTGGGCTGACGTGGCCGCTGTCCCGTTTCCTGCGTCCCCTGCCTCGTCCGCTTCCCGCTTTGGCCTCGGGGCCCGATCCAGGGGAGTAATTGGGGGAGAGGCCGTTTTCGCCCGCAGGAACCGTCGCGGCCGGGAGGGGAGGCTGCGGCCCTGCGCCGTTTGTTTCGGGAGTCTCTGCGGGGCTAAGCTTGTTCCGCTTGGCGCCCTCTCCGCCGGCCCCACCGCCCACCCCCGCGGGCGCGCCCTTCTTGCCGAAGGTGACGTTGAGGTTGGGCGCACCCAGGCTGGCGATCATGTTCTGGCAGGCGGTGGAGAGCGCTGCCAGGCAGCTCTGTCCGAAGAGGCCGCTGCTCTCCTTGGGGCCCGCGCTCCCGGGCGGCGCCCCGACACCCCCTTTTGGGAAAGAGCCTAGCGAGAGCGCGCCCAGCTTGCTGCTGGCCGGAGAGGGCCGGGGCTGCGACGGAGGGGGCGCAGAGCTCTGGAAGTCCGTCGGCGGCCCAAAGGACCCGGGCGACGCGCTGTGCGGGGTGGCCTGGCGGCTGGGGCCCCCAAAAGGAAAGCTTTGCGCCTGCGCTGCGAAGTCGGGGTGGCTCGGCCGCCTCTCCGACGGCGGGCTCAAGCCGAACTGACCTTGCAGGCCGCCTGGCGAGGGGACGTGTCCTTCGCCCCCGGAGGACATCCGCAGGGCCGGCGGCGGCTCCTGCAACCCGCCCATTCCCGGTCGGAACAGCAAATCTCCGCTGCCCGCCGGAGGATGAGGCGGCGGGAACCAAGCACCTTCCTGCGCCTCGAAAGCGGCTTCGCCCGGGTGTTGGTGCGGGGACTGGTGATGGCCGTGGCCGCCGGCAGCGTGAGGATGTTGATGGTGCCCGACCTGCTGCAGGCCGGGTGGACGGAGGCGCTGAGATTGGCCGCGGGTGGCCGCCATCTGCTTGATCATCAGCGCCGCGTTCTGGCGCTGCTGCAGAGCCGCCTGGGGATCCGAGCCCGGCGGCGGCGGCGGCGGAAAATGCTCAGGCACCGGCGGAGTGAAGTCCCCCGGCAGGCCAGGATAGGCCGCGGAGGGCGACAGGTGGCTCTCCAAGGCGGCTGCCCCGTGCATGCCTGCGCCGCCGCCGCCGCTCCACGAATCAAAACGGGGCCTCTTGGGGAGGTTCACGTAGGGGGGCGCGTCGAAGTGCTGCAATCGCTGGTTGGGCGGCTGCTGGGGCTGCTGGTGCTGGTGGGCCACGTTGAAAAGCGGCTCTGCCGGGCCGTAGGGATGCTGCTGCTGCTGCGGGTGGTGGGGGTGGTGCTGCAGGCCCCGGTTCTCCAGCCGGTGGATGGGATACTCGAACTGGCCGTGCTGCGCCGGCAAAATCGGGCCCCCGCCGTCTTGCAGGTTGGCGTTGGCGGCGCTTCCCTCTGGGCATTGCTGTGGCCGCGGCAGCGCCGGCGGGCAGGAATTCTGCCTGGCCAGGAGAGCCGGGGGCGGCGGCTGTTGCTGAACCAGGTGGTGCCTTCCGGCGCCCAGGCCCGGCTCCAGCCCCAGAGACATTTTGCGAGCGCCGCCGAACCGATCGAAGAAGACGCCGTGAGGGGGCTGTTGGCTGGGCACCTTCCCTAGGGAGCCCGGCGCTCGGGGCAAGGCCGCCGAGTGCCCAGGGAAATTGCTGCCTCCCGGCGGAGCCGCCTGTCGTCCGGAGCCGTACTGCGGCAGCTGCCCCTCGGCCTCTGACGACGAGAAAACGGGCAAGTCGAAATGGTTCTCGCTGTTCGGGTAACTATATTCCAGGGCATCCACCGCGGCTGCTCCTTGGCTAGGCAGCCGCCTCTGCGAGTCCAGGCCGTGCGGTTCTGAGGAGGCGGCTCCCGGCAAGCCGTGGAAGGAGGCAGCGCGATTAGGCGACTGGTCCAGCGGCAGGCACGGGGCCGGCACGCCGGGATTGTGAAGATGATGCGGCGGCGGCGGCGGCGGCTGGAAGTCCTGGAGGGGTCCCGCCCTCTGCTGTCCGAAGCCATCCCCGCCCGCCTGGCCGTCCGCCAGATGCTGCTCGTAGCCGCCGTCCGCCGCGAACGTCTGCTGGCCTCCCGAATAGCCGAGGAGGCGGCCGCCGTGCAGGCAGGAGGCGCTGGGTTCGGGCCCGAAGCCACCGCCGAAGTGCGAGACCGGGGGTTGGGTCTGGTGGTGCGCGGCCGGGCCAGGCGGCGGGCTGCCGAAGAATCCGTGGATCGGCTGGGCCGGGCCCAACTCCGGAGGGCCGCCGCGGGGGCCGTGGAAAGCGCCATAGCCCTCCCCGGACAAGGTCAGGTTCATGGCCAGCAGGGTCGAAGAGGACTCGCCCAGGGCATTGACGGCCGCCGCTTCACCGCCGCCGCTGCTTCCGCCGTGAAAGGGCGACGGCTTGAACTGGGAGCCCGCGCCCGGCCCAAAGCCGCCGCCCCGCTCGCCCGGCACCCCGCTCCTGCCTGAGCCGCCGCCGCCGCCGCCGCCGCCGCCGTGTGGGTCGAACGGATCCAGCGCGAACATCCCGCCGGTGCCTGCGACTCTGTGGCTCCAGTCCCGGCTGACTAGATCCTCAACGAGGCATCCCGGCCGGCCGGCCGGCCGAGAGAGTCCGCGCCACCGGCAGGCAGGCAGGCAGGCAGGCAGGCAGGCAGGGGAGAGATCGGCCGCCGCCGCCGCCTCACGACCGGCTCACATCTTGCGCGGCAGTTGCCGTCCGGCGCCGGAGTGGCGGCAGGGGGGACCCCGCCGGGCCTGGCCACCCTTCATGGGCTGCGCGACTGGGGCGCCGCTTCCCTGGCTGGCGGGCTGGCGGGCTGGCGGGCTCCTGGCTCTGCCGCGCTCTCGCCGCGCGCCGGGGAAGCAGCAACAAGTTTTGCATTTCAGCAATGCCGTCCAGCCATTCGAGCTGCGCCAATCAGCGGCCCGGCGGGGCGGGGCTCCCTCTTAAGGTGGCGCCGCCGCCGCCGCCGCCGCCGCCGCCCTTCCCCCGCCGAGCGCTCGGCCCGCTTGCGGGGAGCCCCGAGTGGGGAGCCGGAGGCCGCGGAGGTCTCCTGGCGTCCGAGCCGAGCGCCGGGCTGCCCTTGTCGCTCAGCGCCTGCGGGGCTCGACGGCCGACGCACCTCCTTAAAGAGCCCCGAGCGCGGCGGTGTCACTGCATGGAAAGCGTCGTTCCCCGCCGAGTCGTCCGCCTCCCCTCCGGCCTGGCGCGGGAACCGCACGGAGCGCCCCCGAGCCGCCCCCGAGTCTGCGGGAGCCGCTCTCTTCCTGCCGTCCGGTCCCGGGCCGGGCCTCTCCAGCCTCCACCGTCCCCTGCCGTCCCCTCCGCTCCCAGCTCCATAAATAAGGGGCTCAGGCAGCTTTGGGGGGGCACTCTGCAGGGTCAGGATGCCGAGCTGTGATTAAATATTGATTTTGTGTAATTAGTTTTCCTGCGCGCTCTTTCCCTTCCTGATGGCGCCGAGCTGGCCGAACTAGATGTCAGGACAGGACAAGCGACAGGCCGGGAGGGAGAGGAGGCCCGCCGCCGCTGTCGCCGCCCCGTCCCACAGCGCTGGTTTTCCACCGCGGGCCTCCCTCCCGCCTCTCTCCCTGGGAGCGCCTGGGAGCGTGCGAGCCCACGGGAGTCCCGCTGGTCCGGTTGGTGCCGTTCTGCTGGCCGCTTGGCTGCTCTTTCCCAGGGCTGCTGGGCACCAGAAGGGGAAAGGTTGGCCACAGCAGCTGAGAGGCAGAGCCCTAGAAGGCATCAAGGACACCACCTGAAGGAGAGACCTGGCCACTTGGGGAGCCTGGGATTGGTTCCTGGAGATCTGGACAGGGAAAGGGGACACGGAGAACTGGAAAGGAGAACAAGGGGGAGGGGGGAGGGGAGACACTAGGTGTTTTACTGAACTGGGAAATGGGCAGCAAATAAATGATGAGATGGGAGAGAGAGAGAGACAGACAGACAGACAGACAGACTTAGGCCTAAGTACCCCTGAAATTACTTTTTCCAGGATCAAAAAGTCTGCTTTTTCAATGGCAGGAATGTGCCTAAGGAGGCAGAAGCCTTCAGCAGGGAACTGACTGAAGTCTTGTCAAGTTCAGGGAGCAAGACCAAACTGGTGGGAGGTATTAATCAACTAATTAAAGGCACAGACGCCCATCACTGACAGAAAAGCTGCTCAGAAACTGATGCTCAAAAAACTGGACCGCATTTGATTTTGAAAGCTCTGCCTGCCTGATGGAGAACATGAGGACAATCGGAAGGACCTTTGTCACAGCCTGGTAACGTTATGCAAGCCCCTGGGTCAGTATCACTCACAAGTCCTAAGGCTGTCCTAAGGTCCCCTGGCTGGAGATCTCTCCGCCTGCCTGCTCTTGCTCTTTCCACTCAGCACACAGAGCCTTTGTTCCCCCAAACCCAGCCATCTTGTTTCCTACAGTACGCAAGGCCACAAACTATGCTTTATGGCGGGACTGTCATGAGCATAGAGCAGTGGGCAGGAGTGCATGGAATTGCTATGTGGTGCTTTGTCTTTGCCCTTTTCTTCCTATGTGTCTCTGCCCGATTTTATGGTTCTGGTTTTGCATTGATTCATTACTTGGCTGTTTTCCTTGATAAAAACTGATGGGAAGGCTTACGTTGCATTTCACATCAAGTGGACGTTGTAGTTGTTGCTTGTTGAGGTGCTCCAAGAATCTGCCATCTCCCTCCTCCTTTGGGGGAGACTTGTGTGTTTCCCACCCTGCATGGTGTCATCCAGGGAAATGTTGTGAGAGACCCTTTGTCGCAGAAAACACCAGCAACATTAATGAGTTGATTATGGAAGACAAGTTGGGAGGCTGCCAGTCCAATCACTATCCAGGGAAAGAGGCTTCCTGGGACCTCCATGTGGGTAGGGACCAGTCTTCTGAAGAAAAGGGTGACTGACTGACAAGGGCATGAAGAAGTGATCCACAGCTGAATAGTGCAGCTGAGAAGACCCTGAGGACACATCTTCCTCTCACTGCTGCATGGGACCTCTGTGACATCTAGGAGAAACATAGAACTGGCTTAACCTCCAGGTTCACACCAGAGGCAGTTATGAGCTGCTGGTCTGGAAAACAGGTCCTGGAACATTTGCTCACTGGCATCCCAGATAGGTTCAGCTGATTGCAGGGAGGAAAGAACTTAGCAAGAAGCACCCAAAGATGGAGAGAAAAGCCAGGCAGGAAAGAAGGAATGAAAACATGAAAATGTTGCCCGTGTCTTTACATGGTATTGCCAATGTTTTTTTTAAAAAAAATTTATTGAATATTTTACATTTTTAAAACCGAAAACATAATAGAAAAAGAAAAAAAAAAAGAACAAAAAAAGAAAAAAAGAACATACACATACACCAAATGGTAATTTACAAAACAAATAACATATAGTATTTTACAACTTTCTGCATCAACAATCATCTTTACTTTTAAATTCAATCTTCCTAATCATTCTCTTATTCTTGTGTATTGCCAATGTTATCTTCCTATTAAAAAATGGGAAAACCCCATAATTCTTGCCATTTTTCCAATTGTATATTGTACCCAAAATTTATTGCCCTTGCCACCATCGTTTCCTTGACTTGCTCCTCCACCATTCTCCAATAAGAATGTATACATTTTCTTTACCGTATAAAGAAAATTTATATAAAATGTTCTACAGGTGGCCTCTTCCACCAGCAAGATTGACAAAAATGTTTAGAAATTTATCACCAAAATGTTGGAAACGCAACCACGAATCAGGCACGTACTACATATGTGGTCGTCACGTAAAAAAGCAAAGGAGTATTGGTGGAAAATTCATTTATGGCTGGCAGAATTAACTGGAGAAAAAATAGAATATAAACCATTAAATTATAAATGGGAAATATAGTAAAGAGGTAAGTTACTTAATAATACATATTATAACAGCAGCAAGAATGACCTTTGCCTAAAATTGGAAAAATAAGGAAATCCCAGAGAAGATGAAGTGATTAAAAATTTTTTTGACATGTGCGGAAATGGATAGTTTAACGCTGGAATTGAAAAATAAATATGAGTCAGAATACTACAAGATATGGAATAAATTTTATCAATGGTTAGAATGGAAAGGAAGGATGAAAAATACTAACTGACCAGAATTCATAGAATGGAGAATTAAGGTTATGTATGTAATTATAAAAGAATGAAAGTAGATAAGACAAATGTATAAGTAATATAGATAGAAGAATGATGTCTTTATATATGTAAATACTGAATAGACCAAAAGCTCTAGGGTCAGTTTGGGATAAAAAATCAGCTCTGTCATGATCTCATTCAGTGAGTTTTGACAGTTCTGGCTTCTGTTCTACTCCTGCTGGGTGTACATCCCATTCCTATATTGACTGACAGTTGTGCATTTCACATAGTTATTGCAGAGGCAAATGAGGAATCCAAGCCATCGGATTACCGGAAATGCTTTGTGTGCCTCCCCCCCCCCTTCCAGGAGGAGGTGCCAATGCAGGTAGTCCTTGACTTACAACAATTTTGGATCAGGAGTCTTTGAAAATTGACACAAGGGAAAGTGCTGGGGTGCATGGAGGGTGGGGGAAATCAGGGTCAGGTAATTAAGAGTTGCCAAGGTGGTGTATGTTACATGCTCTGGAGTAGGTGTTTATGCAGAAATAGGGGTTGGAATTCTCCAGATGCTGAACTACAAATCCCAATGGTTCCAGAAAGCATAGCCAGCAGGGATGCTGGGAAATGTTATTTCAGCAACTACAAACTCCTTGTTGCTGATTGTAAACAAGGTTTTGCCCCCTGCAAGCATCACTGGAGTGTGAGTAACAACAGGTGCAAAATGATTTGATGACTGTGGACTCTAGAGTAAACGTGAACTAAAGAATCCAACAGTTATTTGGCCTGCCTGCCACAGAGCCTTTGGTATCTTCTCTTTGGTCACTTTTCTGCGTAGATGGTTCTTGGCCTCATTTGTTGAATTTTCCAATGATTGACCCCCCCTCCCCAAACTCACAAATTTAAAGATTATCGGTATTTAGGCTGATCATAAACTATGGAAGGCCTCTTGTTCTTGACTTTTTCTCTTAACGGATTCATAAAAGCCCTGCCAAAGTAAAGCAACTGGGAGGCCACCAGAAGGGAGCTGGTGGCCTTGGTTCCAGGAGAAGCCCTGAGCATGAATGTGTCTTTTTTAGCCACTTGGGAATCCCAACCTTCTGCCTCAGATGCAGCCCCAGACGCTGATTTGAACCCACATGAAAGGCAACACAGATTTTCCAAACACTCCTGCCTTTTTAGCCCTGGAAAAGGGGTGGAAAGGAAGCAATCATAATTCTCCATGTGCACTACATATACTCTGTCTCTTTGCAAACATGAGAGAAGGAAATTATGCACAATCGAATGGCTTCCCATTTTATAAACATACGATCTGCATTTTCACCCTCAGCAGCTGCATTTGATTAAAGGTGAGGACCAGGAACTGCGGGGTTGGGGGGTTCTCGCATCTTCCACCGCCACCTGCTGGCCACAGGAGGGAGAGGTCGGCTTCTTCGCTTCAAACGGCCTGGCCGGGGAAGGGCACTTTGGAGGGACTCTGGAATCCGCCTGCTCTTGCACTCTTTAGTTGAATTGGAGAACAAAGGGGCCCTTGCTCCCATTTGGATGTTTCGATACAAAAACTGGGAACAAGAAATTCAGCATTTGGATTAGAGGATGCAGAAGCCCAGGAGCGATAAACTGCCACCCTTCGGCCAGTGTTGGTGTTAATACTTAATCAGTAGATTCGTTAAATACAGCAGTTTTAACCTACTATGTTCTTGACTTTTTATCTTTCTTGAAAAGGCTGCAGGACTAATCCCGATTAAAA